GAGTTGAAAACACCAGAAGATAAAACACCTGTGATGGAAACAGCTACCACATATGAAGAAATACATTCAGAACCCGTTGATTTAATTTCAGAAAATATTGAGTCAAAAGGTACAAATGAACCAGTGACACCAACCATATCCACAAAACATTACAGATGAAGACGGTTGCTTTGGATTAATTCATCGCACCAGCTCTGGGTTGAAAAGATGCCAGGAGAAGATGAAGAAAACGAATGATTTAAAGTCAGAACATCTCGCAACTGAAGGTACAAATACATTAGTTACAGCAACCACATCTAGAAAACATGCAGAAGATTTAATTAGGACTGAACAAGAGAAAAGAATGACAACAGAGGCTCTTGAAACAGAACGTACAACAGGAATCGAGTGGCAAACACCAGAAGATAAAACAACTGTGATGGCAACAGCTACCACATATGAAGAAATACATTCAGAACCTGTTTTCATTTCAGAAAATATTGAGTCAAAAGGTACAAATGAACCAGTGACACTAACCGTATCCACAAAATATGTAGAAGACTTCACAATGAACAAAGAAGAGACATTGATGACAACAGAGGCTCTTGAAACTAAATATACAACAGAAACCGAGTTGCAAACACCAGAAGATAAAACACCTGTGGAGAGAACAGATACCACACATGAAGAAAGACAGCCAGAATATAATGGTTTATGTTCAGAACATCTTCAACAAAAGGCACGAATGATTTAGTTGCATCCATCCCTTCAAGAGCACATGAACATACTGTCACAGTGACTAAACAGAATGTACAACAGAAATTGAGATACTGACACCAGAAGATAAAACAACACCAAGCCAAGAAACAGAAGTATCACAGCCTACAGATGAAGACGGTTGCTTTGGATTAATTCATCGCACCAGCTCTGGGTTGAAAAGATGCCAGGAGATGATGATAGGAATTATGTCATACAATACTACACCAAAACCACAGGAGTTTTCATCTGTGAAACATAAGCAAGAGACAACAGAGCTATCTCTCATATTGCAGAATGCACTGCAACCATCACCTTTGAGTAAATATCAGAGTTCTAAACAAATTACCCAAGATAATATGGATAAAGTCACTGAAGACGAAAATAGCCACTTCTACTATTTCAATGGCAAGCTAAAAAGAGTTGGAAATCATGCATTGAGTATGATAACAACACTTACACTAACCAGACCATAGGACAATCATAGCATTCTTGCAGTAAATTTTTAATTACAAATTATGTAATTGTAATTATGTAATGTGTAATTAATAATCAACGACCCACAGCTGGTCGCATTTTCTCTTACATTACATTTACATAGAGATCAAATCACAGTATGGACTGTCGGTTTTCCTACCATGTGTCACTTCATATTAAACATGTAATGTTAATTGTAAATAGAATTCTAAAGTAAGTTTATGGCAGCTTTTTAATGTATGTTTCCTGTAACTAAAGTACTATATAATAATAATTACAGTTATGTAAATGTAAATGTAATAACTGTTGTAAATGACAATACAAACCGCATTGTTTCTTTTTTTTGTTATTGACCTAAGCTAGCTAGATTGCAGCAAGCTAGCTAGATAGCGTTTCCTCCGAGGCAAGGGAGGCAGTGTCTCCTCAAAATATTGGAGAAAAAAAAATCGTAGTACAAAAATAAAACAACGCCCATATTACAAAGTATAACATTAAATATTTTTAATAAATCACTCTTTTTTCTAAAGTAGCACTGTCCAACATAGACATAATAAATACCTAGACATTGGCCGCTTTGAGCCGTTGCTGCGATACATCAACGCGTCCGCCATGTTTGTGAAGGCAAGACTGCCTTAAAAATAAATGGAGGTAAACGGAGGAGCTGCGTTTTTTTCTGGATAAAAACACGAACAGTGGTAAAATATTATGCACTGATACAGTGCACAGTAAAGCTGATATGTAATATTAAAAAGTATATGTAGTACAAGTTGTAGTAAAGTGAATAATATA